ACTATTCTTCCTATGAGCTATTTTATTTTGTTGTGGAGTTTCAACACAAGAACTCACGTCTGATATCGTTCCTTACAAGGTAGGGTCCAATGATAGAAATGAAGTATTCTTTGCGTTTTTCAGTTTTGAAGATCTGAATTTTACATGAGAATTGAGTGAAAATCATGTTATGGAAAAACTGAAAGATATGTGTAGTTTCAATTTTTTCTTTCGCGAGGAATATTCAACTGGTTCTAGTGTGTTATCTATAAAGAAGACAAACTAACTGACTCCATTGATGATTTTCAATTTTGATGGCCCCTAAATATTATTGTGGATGATAGAAAAAAAAATTGAGGATTTGTACCGGTACAAAGGATAGTTATAATCAGTATGTTTAACCAATTGACAAGATTCACACTGATAAAATTTTGATTTTCTTATTAATTAAGAGATGATGGTACAACTTTGTAAGATAATAAAAATTAGGATGATCCAGACGACGATGCCATAATAAAACTTGTCTTTCAATAAAATCAAACATAATAGACTCATGAATATGGGAAGTGAATGGTGAAGAAGACATTTGTGTGTTAAGATAATAGCTCGTGTATAGACCTTGATACAATTTGACACTGAAGATCACCTTCCTTGAATCCACCTGAAATTCACAAGTGTTAGAATGGAATTTAGTAAGATAGTTCAAGTCTTGAGTGAGCTTGTTAATTAACAATAAGTTACAATCTAATCGGGGAATATCTTTAAAGACTTTCACTTCTCTTTTCCCATCAATCCTGGAGTGGGATCCATCAGCGAATTTAACAGTTGCGGAGTCGAGAAACTTTTGGTGGTTGGTGAGAGCATGAATATCTCCAGTTACAGGATAAGAAACACCCGAATCTATTATCTAAGTTCAAAATCTTACATTGCCGGCAAGATAGAAGGATGGTGAAGAAAACACTTATGTGTTAAGATAATAGCTCATGTATATACCTTGATGCAATTTAACATTGAAGATCACCTTCCTTGAATCCACGATCTGAAATTCACAAGTTTTAGAATGAAATTTAGTAACATAGTTCAAGTCTTGAGTGAGCTTGTTAATTAGTAATAAGTTGCAATTGAATCGAGGAATATACAGTATAAATGAGAGTTGAATCTTTTTAGAGACTTTTACTTCAATTTTCTCAACAATCCTGGAGTGAGATCCATCAGCAAGTTTAACAGATGGGGCGTCGAGGAACTCTTGATAGTTGGTGAGAGCATGAATATCTCTAGTTACATGATAAGAAACACTTGAATCTATTATCTAAGTTCAAAATCTTCCATTGTCGGCAAGGTAGGAGGAGGATATAATACATTGGTGTATCATCAAGTTGGTAGATCGCTCAGTTGTGCTCGAAAAAAGTTTGTTCAATATCTCCAGTTGTTTCTTGGTGAAAGGGCTAGGGTTGACCAACTATTTAGAAGAGGTAGCAGCATGGACCTTACTATCTTGATCTTTTCTCCTTTGCTCATTTTTTCATTCTGCAGGTTTTTCATGTAGTTAACAACACCTGTTCTTTGTGTGACCTAAGTTTCTTGCAATGTTCACACAAGAGACAATTAACCTCCGAAGTGGCACTCCACGTCTTCGTACCGTAGTTGGTCATAAACTCTGTGTATTTAGGGATGCACTTTGTTGCGACTATTGTAGGAAGAAAGGTCTAGTTTGTGCAGTTCAAATCCCTTGCTAACTGTTATTAAATGGAGAACTTTAATAGTGTTTAGTTTGACAACTGGTTTTAAACTCTCTTGATAGTGAATCATTTATGCTTGAGTGAAACCTTTTATAGCAAGTTGAACTTTGAATCTCTCAATACCCCATCATCTTTGTATTTAGTATTGAACACCCACTTGTATTCTAGTGACTTATTATCTTGAGGGAGTTTAGTTAGAATCCATGTGTCATTATGTTTCAGTGTTTGAATATCCTCTTCAACTGGTTTCTCCTTTTCTGAATTTTCTTCATAAATTTATATTTTAATTTGTACATTATCAAGATTAGAAGCAAAGGTTTTGTAGGATGAGAATAACTTCCCATAAGTTACATGCTTATGAATTGGATACCTAACACGACTTTTCTGGTCACCAACATAAAAAGAAGGGGATAACTCAGGAGTACTAGACTTTTCCTGACCTAAAATTTCATGTGAATGTGAACGCGAGTTTTAGTTTGAGCAGTTTTGTCCTTACAAGTTGTCTTTCGCCTGTTCTCAATTTTTTTTCTTCCTTGTATGCACACTCAGTTCTTTGTAATGGAGTTCTGGTTGGGTTGATTGGATTGGTTAAACATTCTCAACCTGGGTATAAGGGCTTGGTGTAGTAGGTGTTGAAACCGTATGTGTCATCAAGTGCATCCCAAAATTGATGTTTATTTGCACTCTCACTGTAAACATCAAATTTTGGGTAATATGATTGATTTTCAAAAAATATGGCATCCGTGGGGTTTTAGTATTTTCTGGTAACAGACAAGTAATATTTAATATCATTTTTGTTAGAGGCATACCCAAGAAAAATACATTTGATTGATTTAAGGTTAAGTTTTGTGCAATTTTGGAAATGGTTGTGAACAAATGATACACACTTAAAAATTTTAATCAGTATAGTAGAAGTGAAAGCATGAGTAAGGTAACCATCAAAACATGAAGCGTTGTTTTGAAGCTAAGTACCCAATTAGGCATTCAATTGATAAGGTATGTTGTTGTAAGAACTGCTTCTCCCTAAACATATTTTGGAACTTGATGAGAAATCATAATTAAGTGGGATACTTCAAGGAGATATTTGTTTTGTCTCTCAGATATCTCATTTTATTGTGTGGTAACAAATCATGAACTCACACGAATGATTCTAATTTTAGAAAGATAGGAGCTGAGGATGAAAGTTAAATATTCCTTTGCATTATCAGTTTTGAGGATATGTATTTTGCATTGGAATTGAGTTTGATTCATGTCTTGAAAGGTATGAAAGATTTGGGTTGTTTCAGATTTTTCCTTTGTTAGTAATATCCAAGTACTTTTAGTGTGGTCATCAATAAATGAAATAAACCATCTAGCCCCATTTAGGGTTTATACCTTTGAAGGTTCTCAAATATCACTGTAGATAATGGAAAAGGAGGTCTAGATTTCTACTAGGTCATGGGATAATTATATCTAGTGTGTTTGACAAGTTAGCAGATCTCACATTGTTAAAGATTAGGATTTTTATTGATAAATAAATGAGGATTTAACTTTGCAACATAATTAAAATTATGATGACTCAGACATAATACCATAACATGATATGTTTGTCAATAAATAGACTCAACTAACTCATAAATTTGAAATGAAAATAAAATTAGGATTATGTGTGTTTAGAGAAACTTTCCTTGAACATATATAAGCTTTTCATGCATTTCAGTCAATCACCTTTCTCGACTCCATTGCTTGAAATTTACAAGAGTTGTAAAAAAATTAGCATTCATTTCATATCATCAGTAAACTTGTTGATTAAAAGCAAATTGCAGTTTAATTGCGGAACATATAAAACAGAGGAAAAATCAATATCTTGAGAAAGCTTCACATCTTCTTTTTTTAGTGCATGTGATCAATCTGCAAGATGTCTCCAATCATATAATTAGGGCTACTGAGTCTATGATTCAAGTTTTAAATCTCCCATTGCTGACAAGATGAGAGAATGATATGTTACCTTGGTGTGTCACTAGGTTGGTGTGTTGTTCAAAATTAACTTTTGGAGTAGAACTTGCTGTCTTTATCTTGTATTTTGTCACAGTCCCTATGCATATTTACATAAAGGGAGTTGACTGCTGCTTCTGCAAGTAAAGGGATGACTGTTGCATGAAAGAGAAAAATTTGCTATTGATGCTTCTATTGTTGTTGCTTGCTATCGTTATTTTTGTTGTTGCCTCTATTGCGGCACAGAACAGGAGAATTCTGGCAAAGAAGGTGCTTGTAGATATAATTCAACGTAGTAGCTAGGAAGATTTTGGCAGCATAAACTGAATAGATGAGATCCTTCAAGGAGAATTTTGGTTCTATGAAGAAGAGGAGGCTTGCAAATCGGCTGAAGGGATTCTGACGGAGGAGGGCTTTCAGCAGGGGGATTTCAGCTGCAGGGAGAGTTCTGACTACTAAGGAGAGCAGGAAAGGGCTTGCAATAGAGATGTGGCTGCAGGAAAAGGTAGGTGAGGGCTTGCAAGCATGCAGAGAGGATTTCCAGCACCGACAGAGGAGATTTTTGGCTGCAAGGAGGAGGTCGGACGGCGGGAGGAAGCTTGGTTTGTTTTATGTACTGGACGATGAGGTCGATTCTTTCAAACAACCCAGATGAAGATGTCGTTGCAGGAAGAAGACATTGTCCAAAGCAATCCCAGGTGATGGCGACACAGATTCTATGTCGTTTGAAGCCGAGGGTTTTATGTCATTCAAATTAGACGAGCAATTGACGATTGACGCCCTAACGACACAGTCGATCCGAACTTGGCGAATGAGGCTCTGATAACATTTAGAAATCAAACTTTGAGAGGAATCATACTTCATTCTATTATTCACATGTAAAAAGCACATTTATATAGAGAAACTAATCCCTCCTAATTTTAAAACTCACCATATATATCTCATATAAATTAGGAAATAAAATAATTCTGAACTAAAATATAATAAAACATAAAATAGGAAGGGAATAAAATTAAGAAAGGTGTTTCCAAAATATCCCCAATCAAAACTTTCCATGATTTTGTGAAGTAGTCGACAGGCTCACAATGGAGAGGAGCTGAGCTTCTCAGCTTTTCACTGTGGCAATAAGATGTAGCCATCAATTGACAGAACTCATTTTTCCTATTCTCAAAACTCTATCTTCTATATTAACTGAGTTGTTGGATTAATTATTTCCATTACTTCAGAGTTTAAAATCATTTTCTGTACTTATAGATAGAGCCTTCTCTTTCCATTTTTAATACATAAGACAACAATGTAAAATGTTAGGTATCCTGATGATCCATTTGATCGGATATGGGAACCTGATTCTGTAAGGAGGGCAAACTACCTTGTTGATGTAGCTCCTGGAACTGAAAAGGTGTCTACTACAAAACCTGTAGATGTTAGCTATGGCGAAAGGCCACCTGAGAAAGTGATGCAGACAGCTGTGGTGGGACGGAATGGATCTTTGGGTTATCGCCTAGACTTGGAAGGTTTTCCAGGTTTTGGTTGGGCTTTTTCATACTTCGCTGAAATTGAAGATTTTCGTGCTGATGAAACACGGAAATTTAAACTCTTTATTCCGGGCATGCCAGCCATAAGTAAACCCACTGTTGATGTTGAAGAAAATGCTCAAGGAAAGTTTAGATTGTATGAGCCAGGTTACGACAATTTATCTCTTCCATTTATCTTCTCATTTGAGTTTAAAAAGACAAATGATTCATCTTTGGGACCAATTTTGAATGCTGTAGAGATATACAAGTATATGCAGATAAACTATGGCTCTAAAGATGGTAGGACTGAATCTCCCTCTTCTATATATTCTTAAAATGTGATATTTAAGGTGAGTTATTCATGCTTGAGTTTCTGATGTATTGGTATAATTAAATTTCAGCATCTATCATGGCGAGTCTTGTTTCCCAATACATGCAAGCAAATTGGGCACATGAAGGTGGTGATCCATGTCTTCCAGCTTCCTGGTCCTGGGTGGAGTGTAATTCAGATCCACAGCCAAAAGTTGTTTCAATGTACAAAATAGCAATTCAATTAGTCTCCTGCTTTTTATATTATTTTCGAGCAAAAGTTTAAAATAGACCCCCAATTATTAGCAAGTAACCAATTTAGTTTTAAAGTGCTCTAATTTAGCCCCGGACTATTAAAAACTAATTCAAATTATTCCTTCGGTTGAATTTCATAGTGACAGTTAACACAAACCATTAATTTTGAGAGTATGTAGGAATAATGATTTTGGATGAAATTTTATTTTAATTATTACTCTATTTTTACATGTAATAAAGTATTTTATTATTATTTTATTTATTTAAGTAATAAATTCTTTCTATATTGGGCATATATTGATTTTATTGATAAACTATTTAAATTCCTTAAAGAGTTTTATGAAATAAAGAGTTACTATATTTGATTATTTTATAAATTTAAATATTTTATTATATAGAAAAATAGAGTAATAATCAGAATAAAAAGTCATTTAAAATTCTTATGTCTAAAATTCTATCAAATTCAATTGTTTGAGTTAACTTTAATCATGAAATTCAGCCTAGTTTCTAATTTGGATCAATTTTTAATAGTTTGGTACTAAAGTGGAACAGTTTAAAACTCTGAGACTAAATTGGTCATTTGTTAATAGTTGGGGGGCTATTCTAACTTTTGCTCTATTATTTCTTATGATTAAATTTAAGTTTTGAAGATTTTCTTAGGCTAACTCAGATGTTATCTTACCAGTAACTTATCTGGAAAGAATTTGACAGGGAACATCCCTTTGGAACTTACAAAATTGACAGGATTAATCGATCTGTGAGTTACAATCGTTTTCTTTAATGCAAGCATATACATACTTTTCAGTCGTTTTCACTGCATCTTGTCTGTTGAATTTTGCAGGCAACTAGATGGTAATTTTCTTACCGGTTCAATTCCCGACTTTGGTGAATGTATCGATCTAGAATCCATGTAAGAATGTAAATATATATTTTTTACATTGCATGGCCATTCTTGCATGCCCGAGGTAAAATTGCTTTGTTTATTATTGTCTTTGTAGTCATCTAGAGAACAATCAGTTAACTGGGGCCTTACCTTCAACTTTTGCAGACTTGCCAAACCTAAAAGAGCTGTAAGTTTCTCGTTTTATATAATTGACAGAATGTCAAGTATTTCCTTTACTTCCATTTCGTGAAAGAGAGCTTTCATGTCTTGTATTGTTAAGTGTTACACGCTTATAACTAACCTGTATCTCAACTTTCTGTGACCCTGTAATAACTTTATATTGTAATAAATTTTATAGGAGCCAGTCTTATTTTGCTTTCTATGCCTGAGCAAGCTTAGGGGTATGCAAACCTTGTACCTGAATTATCACAATATTTGCGTGTTCTAAGTTGTGGCTCAGGAATGTTTATATATATCTAGGAACCCATTAATTCTTAGCCATTTTATCTTCAGAATTTCCCAAGGAATTGCACATGGAATGATTTTGTTGGAATTGATGTGGAAGATTTGAAAGTTGAATTACTCTTCAAGTATTTTTTTTCCCATTATTACTATTGATTGTTATCTGTTGATATTATAGCTTGAATATCTTTCTCCTTTTTTTTTTTTTGGCAGAGATGTAAGGAATAACAAGCTCTCTGGAGTGATACCACAGGGACTCATTGGGAAACATATCTCCTTCAAGTAAGTTGCAAAACAATGAGTTGACTACATAGACCATGCATTTGAGATGTCATATATTTTATAGGTGCAGAATAGTGAGTGCAAATTACATGAAGTTTACCTTTTCTTTTTTACCTTCAGATTATGAGGTGATAACAAAATTGATTTTCAGCTAGTTTTCCTCGACTCAAATTCACGGGGTTCAATTTTTTGGCTTGAATTAAATTTTAGTCAAGTTGAAATGAAAGTGATCTGGTTTGAGCCAATTTTGAGTTGACGAGGCCAACCGTATTATCTTCTTCCTAATTATGTGTGTGTGTGCCTGTTAAGTCATGTGAATATTTAGTGGTCCCATGGCAGATAGTTGTTACGTTAAAAAATATGTTAATATAGAAATATCGAATGTGTTTTGCCATCATCCATAAATTTAAGTTTCTAGGTTAAAAAAGAAGTTTGAATATTGCTGCAATAAACCAAAATTTGGCCTTTTTTGACTTCACGCTTCTAAATAAATGGGATCAAAGTTAATTTTTTTAGTGGGATTAAGTTATTTATTTTGTATTTGGCTCTTGTTGCATGAATTTGATGATAAATACTTTTCGTTAAACGGGAGGGAGAGGGTTGAATGGACATTGTGAAGTGTGCTTGCGTGGAAGGTTTTAAAGGCATATTAGAGTACTGGTTTTGGTGCCAGATAACTAAAAAAATATGTTCGTGCAGACAGATTAAGTGGTTTTCTCTCACCATAAGCTTTTGAGTTGAAAATAAGCTTGACCATTAGTTTTTTAAGCTCGACTATAATCTCCTTATAGTGGATCCAAAAAAAAAAAAAAAAAAGAGGATAAGATCTTATCTCAATTGCAAGGAAATGCAAGGAAAGAAGAAAGGGATAATTAAATATTTATCCTCTTGTTCGTAAGCCAAAACCCTCTTTCAAGCACTACCACTAATATTCATCTTCATCATTCGTTTCCTATATTTGGTCTCTTACTTTTCCTCTTTTTTTCTCTCATTAGCTCTCAGTCTCGATGGCTCACCTAGTCACTCGTGCTCTCGATCTCCTCGCTTTCCTTCTCTATGCTGCGAACTCACTTTCCTTATATCATCTCTATTTCTTTCTCTCATCCTTCCTTTTTCAGTCGTTTACTCTTTCGCTCTCGCTGTCTCGATCGTGTTCAACTACCTCCATCTCTATCACTCCTTTTAACGGAATCGACTGCATGGTTCACTTGTAATGACATCGTCGGTTCATTATATATTATTAATATTATCATTATTTTAGCAAACTACCTTTCAAAATTGATTTTATGTTTCATTACCATATCTATGTAGTATTACAATCCTAGAAGAGTTTCTATAAAAAAAAAAGATTTAGGAAATAATAATTATAGAATAATTACAGTAACCCATGGATTAATGAGTAGGTGGAATAAGGATTACATAATAATTTTAGTACATGGATTGACGAGTTGGCAGTAAGGATCTCACAAATTAATGAGATGGTAGCAGATGAGAGAGGAAAGAGGGTGAAAGTTTTGGTGAGTGGGGTTATAGTTGGCAATGATTATTCAAGTGTTTTAAAATATGCAATGTCAATGTAACAACCTAAACTCTTAACCATCGAAATATTGTCCGCTTTGATTTAATGGCATAACGGTTTTTTCCTCTTTGTATAATTTCCCGGGATATCACCCATCCTAAGAGTGCTCTCACATGACCATGCTTAACTTTGGAGTTTCTAATGAAATTTCAACCATTACATCAAAAGGCGCCACAATATTCAAGAGTTTTGCTTCATTCTACTTGGGGTTTCACAATCAAAGTGCTCTACATAGAAAGTTCAAGAATCGGTGCTTAATATGTACAAACAATATCATTAGGATGACGAAAAAGATCCTATAGCTCACCATTTCATATAATGTTGAAATTTGGAGTTGGAATTGAAACAATAATTAGATTTTTTTTTTCCATTGAATTCTATCGTTTATGCAAATTTTTTAATTAAACTTGGGCTTATTGTATAAAAAATGATCTTAATTTACTAGAACTAAATGAAAATATGACACTAACTAGGACGTAATGGAGAAAAAGGATTCATGTAGCCGACCCCACGTAGCGAGATTAAGGCTTTGTTGCTGTTGTTGTTGTAAAATTTTTAATTAAACTTGCATTCTCTTTTCACTTTGCCACTAATTCATTCATTACACTGAGAATTCTTTTTGTCCGTTTTTGCCATTGAGCATCAAAATAAAAAAAAAAAAAAAGTTTCGCCTAAAGCAGCATCCTCCTTTATTTTCTTTCTCAGCTATGAGGGAAATCCAAATCTTACCAGTCGAAAGAATGGCCTTAATCACACTATAGTCATCATCATTAGTGTGGTACTTGGAGTATTAGTCGCTTTAGCTGCCCTCATAACTTATTTCTCATTCGCACATAAAAGAAATAACAGCCATCAGAAAGGTAAATCAAAATTTCTTATATTTTATTATGTCATTTTACTCGAACAGACCTCATGATTCCTTAATTATCCTTTCTTCCTAGGAAATGTTGCGACGATCCAACAAACTAAGAAATTGAGCACTTACTTCAGCGAAGTTGCGACAGAATCAGCACATAGGTATGATCTTTCTGAAATCGAAGATGCCACTGCGAATTTTCAGAAGAAAATCGGTTCCGGTGGTTTTGGCGTAGTGTATTATGGAAAGCTGAAGGATGGGAAAGAAATTGCAGTCAAAGTCCTTACAAATGAATCCTACCAGGGTATCCGAGAGTTCTTAAATGAGGTGAGTCCTTTTTAATGCACTAGAGAATGAATATATATATATATATTGCAATTGCAGATTTTATACCAGTCTATAATTGGCAAGAAGACGTGGGCAATTCTTAATGGATGATTTGTGGAATTTTATTTGGGGCGTTTTTGGAACTTTATTCAGCTAGCTTTTCTCAAACTGAGTTGAAGAGAGAATTGAATTGGGTTGTTGGTTTGGTTCAGATTAGTTTTTTGGGTAGGATTCATCGATGGACAGTTGAGACAAATGTTATGAACAAAAACGAGTATTAGTGTGATTCATTTCAGTCTCATGATGAAAAAAACTTGAGTTTTTTCCCTTTACTTCAGGTAACACTGCTTTCAAGAATACATCACAGAAACTTGGTTACATTTCTTGGATACAGCCAACAAGATGGAAAAAATATACTTGTCTATGAATTTATGCACAATGGAACTTTGAAAGAGCACCTTCGTGGTAAGTCTCCCATTATTTTTGGTTCTTTATTTGGAAGATGGATCTGTTCATTTGCTTATTTCGACAGGACCTGCATCTCTGGAACGAACTGTTAATTGGATCAACCGCCTCCAGATTGCTGAGGATGCTGCAAGAGGTTGTGCTTATGATTCTCACCAGTTTCTCTTAAATCCATCTGGTAATAATGCAATATGATCCATTAGTTATATTTATATTTTTCAGGGATAGAGTATCTTCACGCAGGGTGCTCTCCAACCATAATTCATAGGGATCTAAAAAGCAGTAACATTCTTCTTGACAAGAACATGAATGCTAAGGTTGCCGATTTTGGTCTCTCAAAACCTGCTGTTGATGGATCCCATGTTTCGAGTATTGTTCGAGGAACTGTTGGATATTTAGACCCAGAGTACGGTTTCAACTTCAATCAAGTAAAAAATAATAGAGGGCATTTGCATACTTACCAGACTATTCCTATATGTTTATATATCTAATGCCTAAAGTTTGATTTTTAACTTCAGAACATTAAAACCTTCAATATCATATAGTAAGTATCAATATTACTAAATTTTAAAAAGTGGAACACACCTTTTTCATGCATTGGTAATTACTATTAATGTAGAAAAGCAAGGCATTGCTGTTAGCTATGTAAATACATAGGGATTGTGTGGTTTATATGCAAATCTTCCAAAAAAATTGAACCTTTGACAGTAAACAGTGTAAACAAAAAGACATGCTATTACTTTTAGACTAAAAATTTCTCTCTGAAATGTTGGATCTGTTGACCATTTTTCAATGCCGAAAGATACTACACCTCACAGCAGTTGACGGAAAAGAGCGACATTTACAGCTTTGGAATTATACTTCTTGAGCTCATTTCAGGTCAAGAACCGATATCAAATGAAAGATTCGGAGCCAATTTCCGTAACATTATTGCATGGGTTAGTTTACTAATACTTTTAGATCTTGTTCTGCCTTAAATTTTTTTCATTTGGACTAAATCTTTAATCCTTTGTCTTAATTTTACCGTCTCGTGGCTTTAATAACTTAATTCCAATTTAGCCCAAGTTGTAATTTCTAGCTGAAACCCGCAATTATAAAATTTGACAAGGTGTCGTTTGGATTGAAGGAATCTGAAGGAAGGCAAATTCTTTTTACTTTCTAGTTTTGTATTTGGAGTTTTGTTTTAAGTAATTAGTAAGGAATTGAATTTTAAAGAGCTGTAATAAATGGATTTTTTAAATGGATAATTATCCACCTAGCCCTAATGAAAAATAGAAAGAAATTACCTGTCATTGTTATGATTCACATATCCCTCCCGTATACAACAATAACAACAACAACAAACCTTTATCCCACTAGGTGGAGCCGGCTACATGATTCCTTTTTCTCCATTGCGTCCTATTGAGTGTTATATTTTATTTAATTTTAATAAATTAAGATAATTTTTTTATACACTATGCCCAAGTCTTTTTAGGTCTACCTCTGCCTTTTTTAACATAAGTCAAATCTAAAACATCTACTCTCCTAATCAGATCATCGGATGGTCGACGTTTATGATCAATTTTATTTTTGTTTTTTTATTTTATTATAATTTTTATATTTTTTTTGTTTTTAGAAACATATTTGTTTAATGTGTTTTTAATATATTTTTATTTTTTGTTTATAAAAACGGATAAACATGTTTTTTTTTAGAACATTAGGTGTTAGTGTTTTTAAAAACAATCACATCTTAATCAAATATATCAAATATTTTTTTTTTTTGCAAATCAAAACATAAACAAAACAAAATAAATATAAAAAAATAGAAAATAAAGAACAAAAGTTGTTGAGAATTGGACCATATTTAAGGTCCTATTGGTAGGGAATATTTAAGAAGTCTAGGGTTTATTTGCAAAATATTGTAATACCCTATTTAAGCCCATGTTATGAATGTACAAAGAAGGTTTTCAGCAATTATTTCTTCATGGTAACCCTAACAGCCGCTTTTTGTTGATTGATGGTCGGGATCAGGCGTACAAAGACCCGAAACTTCCTCTTCCTCTTCATCCTCACAAAGCTAGACAAAGCAGCCGATTCTGGACAACGGGGCTTGAAATCGCGATACAGTCACGATTGGTGTAATAATATAAAGTTAAAATAGTAATAATAATAATAATGATTACTATTATAATAATAATAAACCACACATCTCTTTTGTGATAATATAACTGTCGCAACCCACGTTCGATTGGTTCAAACATAATGAGCGAGAAAGAGGAAAGGAAGTCGCATGGGAGAAGGAAGAAGGAAAGTTGCAGGTACTGCACAACGTCGTGCCCTAGCCATGGAATGAGGAGGAGAAATCAAAAAGGAGAACGAAAGTGTGGTCGGGCCACGATCGAGGAGGAGGAGACGTCATGATGGGTGCTTGTGTAGAGGAAGTGAAGGAAGAAGAAAACTGTGCGTGCTATCTGCATCGAGGCCGACGACCCCTTTCGTGCGACTTGTGCAAAGGAAGGATGTTCTGCGATTGGTCTGTGGGAACGAGTCGAGAACGAAGGAGAAGAGGAAGGGGAGTCGAGCTTTCTGCCATGCTCGTGTGCGGACAGAGGAAGGGGAGCTTGTGTTGAGACGAGATCAAAGGAAGAAGAGGAAGGAAATGCTAACTTGGTCAAGCGCGAGCTAGGGCTAAGGCCGAAGCTTTTAAATTAAGGTATGTGTAATATTTAAGTTAATATATTGTTAGATAAATTATATTATGTGTGAGGGTACGTTTAATTACCTAATGCAAAGTTTTTGTTGAAATAAAGGATTAAACAAATAATGAATTCAAATTCGAAGGAAGGGCTGAAGGAGCGTGCCAGTGAGATAGGAGATTGATTCAAACAACTTATAAGGTAAATCATCATATTTAAATTAAGCAAATTATGTTGTGTATATGGAGTCAAAATACCCCAATATCTTAGGCGCAGGGTTTGGGCACTCAAACACCTATCTTTGGGCGTTGATAGAGAGGGGGGGCGCCTTTGCGCCCCCTTTGGGCGCTCAAGCACCCATATTTTTGGCGCAGACAAAGGAGCCGACGCTTGAGCACCGGCCTTAGGCGCTCAAGCGCTCGGTTTGTTGGGCGCGATCCCGAGAGCTTGTCGAAGCGCCCAGAGTAGTTACTCTGCTTTATGGTTTCTTAAATCAATTTTGAGCGGTGTAATAATGAGTTGGGTGTAGGTCTTCCTTTATTGTTCTTCAACAAGTTTCTGATGAAGTAGAGAAGAGTTGTAGAGGATGATTTCTGGGATCTCGGTGTGTGTTTTTCACATCGAATTGGAGAAGGAATATTGTGGAGCTTTCTGTAAGTTTCTTCGTATGTGTGTGGAGGAGAAATTTGTGGGTCTTCTGTAAAACCATCTGATTTTCATCTGACTCTTTGGTTTTTTCCACATAAATTCTCATGTGCTTTTATGGTTATTTTGATTTTGCTTCTGTGCTTAAATTTATTGTTTTGATTTTCTCGAATCTTGTGATCCTATTCCGCAGTGAAACTACAAAGAGATTCTTTTGGGTTAGTTTCTCCCTGCAAACTGGTATCAAATGGGGGTTCGATTCTAGTGGGAGCAATGACCGAAGAAGCAAGGTTCAAGGTGGAGAAGTTCAATGGAACAAACTTCATTTTCTGGAAGATGTAGGTGGAGGATTTGTTGAAAAAATTGTACTTTCTACTACAAGAATCACAAGAAAGACCGAGTCTATGCCTGGGGAGGAATGGGAAGTGTTGGATCGAACGATACTGGGTTTGATCAAGTTAATATTTTTCTCATATGTTGCTTTCAACATTGAGAATGAGAAAACTACAGTGAATTTCATGACGGCATTGACCGAGATGTACGAAAAACCTTCTCATTCTAATAAGGTTTTTCTGATAAATAAATCATTCAACATGAAGATAGTGGAAGAAAATCCAGTGATAAAGCATCTCAATAACTTCAACTCTGTGACGAGTCGTGTTATGTGGGGATCAAGTTTGATAATGAGGTCAGAGCAATGATGATATTATCTTCTTTACCAGAAAGTTGATATGGATGGGTATCGACGGTGAGTAATTCTTCAGGGACTTCAAGGTTGAACTTCGACGACATCGTGGGTCTGATGCTAAATGAAGAAGTCCCCAGAAAAGTTGTGCACGATGAATCTTCAGGTTCTGCGTTGAATGCTGATAACAGGAGAAGGAATCAGAGCAAGAATACATGTAGAGGCAGATTCAAGTCCAAGAAAGGAAAACCCAAGTCAAGTAGAGGAGAATTTTGTAGAACTACGGTAAGAAGGGGCTTATTAAGAAGGACTGCAAAGCTCCAAGGAATCTGATGGTGGAGGACAGTATGGTAGTTTCTTTATTAATGTTTCTACTGGTGAAATCCAAAATGACTCCATGGTGTTATCCCTAGTTAGTATTGAATCCTAAATAGTGGATTTAGGTGTTTTTTTAATGCTTGCCCCAATAAAGAGATATTTAAAAATTACACTGAGAGTGATCTAAGGAAGGTTTATTTGAGAGATAACATGACCGGCAGTATAGTAGGAAAGGGTAATGTTGAACAGTCTAGAAAGTTTATTGAAGTCAAACATGTTCCTAGTTAGAAGAGAATTCTTATCTCTATGAGCGAGCTAGCAAAGTCAAGACTCATGACAACATCCACAGGTGATTCGTGGAAGGGGACCACGGGGTCGCTCAGGGCAACATTAAAGACACCCTTTATTTGATCAATGAAATGACTGATTTCATTGATTTGGTTGGAACCGTGGTGGATGCATGTCTGTGATATCGTAGGCTTGGCTATATGAGTGAAAAATGTATGAAGTTTTTACTTTCAAAAAATAAGCTTCAGGGTTTGAAATCAATTGATTTGGACTTCTGTGAAGATTATATATATAATAAGCAGAAGAAAGTTTCTTTCTCGAAGAACGAATTAGTGGTGAGGTGAAAGAAACTAAATTTTGTGCATATTGATGTATGAGGTTTTACTCCAGTTCAGTCCATTGTAGGTTCTTGTTATTTTGTCACATTCATTGATGATCACACGAGAAATGTATGTGTTTATTTTTTAAAGCAGAAATTTGATGTATTTGAAATCTTTAAGAAATTGAAGACTATGGTTGAAAATTAGACAAACTTGAAGCTGAATTGTCTCATATCAAATAATGAGGTGAGTACCGTGATTAGAAGTTCAGAAATTTCTATGTTACAGAGGGTGTCGAGCATGAGTTCACTGTCCCAAGGACATCGTAGCAGAATGGTGTAGTTGAGCGCATAAATAGAACAATCACAGAGCGTGCTAGGAGCTTGAGGTTGCATGCAGCTGAAATAGTTTTGGGTTGAAGCAGTTATCACTGCAGTTTATCTGATTGATCATAGTCCATTAGTACTTTTAGAGAAAGGCTTATCTAAAAAAGTTTGGAGTGACAAAAATGTATGTCTATCTCATTTAAGAGTATTTGGGTGTTCTGCATATGTGCATGTTGATATAGGTTCTAGAAGCTAACTTGACTCGAAATTTGGCAAGTGCACTTTCATTGGATATGACTCAAATGAGTTTGCACACAAGTTTTGGGATTATTAGAATAAAAATTTCATCAAAATCAGGGATGTCACTTTCAATGAGATAGAGATGTATGAGGACAGTGTCGGAACTTGTGACAGTTTGTCAGCTACTTCTAAAGAATCCAGATATGTGGAGATAGTTAATGTCATTGATCAGGAAGTTGGAAAAAGAAGAAATGTTCAATGAGAAGGAGCACTGGAAGTTCCTCAGACACCTGCTACGGAAGTCAATAGATCCAGCAGAGTGAAACAACACATACAAAAGTATTCTCCTTCTTTACGCTATTTGTTACTAACTGATAGCGGTGAATCAAAATGCTTTGAGGAAGCCACTCAAGTTGAAAATTCAAGGTAGTTGGAGCTTGCCATGGATGAAGAAATGCAATCTTTGGAGTCAAATCAGACTTGGGATTTGACGGTACTACCAAATGGCAAAAGAGTACTTCACAACAAATAGGTCTATAGGCTGAAAAAAGAGTCAGATGATGGAAAGTGCTACAAGGCAAGTTGTAAAGGGTTTCCAATAGAGGGAAGGAGTGAATTGTATAGATATCTTCTCCACAGTCGTGAAGATGACAACTATGAGGGTTGTGCTGAGTTTGGTAGCAGAAGATCTATATCTGGAGCAGATGAATGTAAAAACATTTTTTTTATATGAAGATATGGAGGGATTGTACATGTTGCAACTACAAGGTTACAAGGTTCCAGGCAAAGAATGTTTGATTTTTAGATTGAAGAAGAACCTCTATGACTTGAAACAGACTCTAAGACAGTGGTGCAGGAGATTTGATAGATTTATGTCAGACAATGGGTACTTGAAGTGTCAGGCAGACCATTGTTGTTTCATTAAACACTTCGGTAACTGTTATATTTTATTTTTTTTATATGTTGATGACATGTTGATTATAGCGGCAAATATGGATAAAATTAGGGACTTAAAAAATCAGTTATCAAGTGAGTTCGAGATGAAGGATTTATGTCCAACCAGGAAGATCTTTGGAATGAGAATTAGTAGGGACAGAAGTGCAGAAACACTGAAGTTGTCTTAGGTAGAGTACGTTGAAAAAATCATACATATGTTCAACATGAGTGAGGCGAAACCAGTTAACATTCTCTTAAGTAGTAACTTCAAACTATCTAAGGAGCTATCACCTAACTATGAAGCAGAGCAAGCACGGATGGAGAGAACTCTATATGTTTCAGCAGTTGGAAGTTGGATGTATGCGATAATTTGTACTAGGCTAGATACTGCATATGCAGTGGGAGTGATCGGTGGGTACATGAGCAACCCAAGTAAACATCATTGGGAGGGGAACAACTAACAATGCATTTATTATGGAAGTACAAAGATCAATCTACAGGGATTTGTAGATTCAGATTTGGCAGGAGTTCTCTCCTAACTGTAGTTTTTTGTATTTAAGTTTTATTAGGTCTACCACTATCTTTCGTAACATACGTCGAATCTAAAATATCTACTCTCCTAACTGGATCATCAGATAATTGATGTAAATAAAAAATCAAAAATATATTTTTACTTAATTTCTCTCCTAAGCCAAACAAGTTTGTGAGAACTTATTTCAATTCAATTCCTTCATCATTCTCCTTTCCATTTTCTTTAATTTTTCTTTCTTTCATTTCTTCCTAACCAAACAAGGCCTACAGGTACTTTCAACCGTTTGTTTCACTGCACTTTCTTTAGTACCTGGACTGAGTTGTGCAATAAACTACATTAAAGCCAAGCAGACTGCTTTCCTCATCCACTTTGTGCAAGTAGCGCTAATGAAATTGACTTAGGAAAATTTGCATGCATACCACATAATTCTTATCTATTTACATATCTAATCCCAAATTTTGATATTTAATTTTGATATTTACACTTATAACACCATAATGTCTAAAACCTGTGCATTTTTTTTTAAACTTTATGTGCATAAGAATTTCATCCCGCAGATAAGCGAGATCGAATCTATGACCCCAAGTGTCTTATAAACTCTGCTAACCAAAGAGTCACGGTAGGTAGCACATCTAAAACCTGTGCATGAATAAGGTCTATTTCCCTTCAAAAAAGATAGCAATTGTGGTTTTTTAGATTTGATGTTAAAGATTCGAGTGGTATGCATCTAAATATATAAAAGTTAGATGCATGAAATTTTAATCAAATTTTACAATCCATTGACCTCAATTACACACCGATCAACTTCAACCATGACAAAGATTCATTCACCATATCCAACTCCCCTAACACAACTTATGCTTCCAAGAAACTTTGAACCACCCTCGAATTCTTTTGCAGGCCACATCGTACATTGAGGGCGGAAACATTCAGGCCATCGCCGATCCCTTCCTCGAAGACAACTTCGAGCTACAGTCGATGTGGAAGATTGCCGAGATTGCGATCTTATGCGTCAAACCACATGGAAATCAGAGACCATCGATTTCATCGGTCCTTAAGGAGATTCAAGAGGCCATTGCCATCGAGCAAGGTTCAGGGGCGACTAATGGCTGTATGTTGACCGGAAACTCTCCGGGCTCTTCCTTGAATTTGGACTCAGTGGCTCTTACTGGTTCTGAGAGACATAGAGATGCTTCTTTTCTCAGAGTTATTTCACAACCAGGTCTCAGGTGATGTTTTAAGATTATATGAACTATGTTAATAGGAATTGTTCATCACCTTTGATATGAATTCATGTGTTCATCTAGTAATTGTGCGCATTTTGTTACAGCAATGTCATGGCTTTCTGTGAAAATGTTGACTTATTGTTTGGGAGCCTTTTTGTGATGACAAATATTTTACATTTTGAATTGTTTAATTTATCATTTGCAATGAGATTGTGTTGATGGTTAAGGTTGATGAATAAATGATTAGTAAGTGCAATCATTTATCTTTTATCAGTTGATTTCTTGAATTATTTATCTAAAATATATATGAGAATTTTAACATGGAAGTATAAGACAAACGTGATAGCGCGAACTCTCATCCATCGAGATATTATTCATTATGACCTATCTGTCTCTGTGGTGTTTTCTTGCGAGCATACTTAATTTGAATTTTTTGATAAAATTTCAACCATTATGTCGAAAGGAGCCTTGTATTTAGGAGTTTACTTCTAATTAATGCAAATATGGAGTAAAACTCATCTCCACCATATTCAATGGAGTAAAACTTGCTACAAGTTTATCTTCTACATTTTGAGTAACATAAAGTAGTTGACTGTCAACTAAAACCCTTCAAATATGACAAATAAACTAGTTTTCTTATTTCTACTTCTTTAGGAAGCTCAAAGTTAAGGCCGTTTTTATCATCTTGAGCAATCATCATAACATATTTTATCATTTTATAAATATTATATTATAATTAAGAGTGACATTATGTCCTTCTATAGCTAGTTAGCCGATGTACATCATATTTCTTCTTAAGTTTTGAAGTGTTGCCACTTACAATCTTGATTATTATATCCTCAATGTCTACAATATTTATAAGCTTATTGTTAGTTAGAAACAATATGTCATAATTACTTATATAATAGTTTTTCATTCCATCTTTATTATAAAGAGATTGAAAAAAAATGCACCTAATTCAAATATTCATTTTTTTTTTTATTGTCCATGCTAAAATATAAATACATCCTAAATGCCTTTCACAATGACATTTATGATCTCATCTCTTATCTTCTAACATTACTCACATATGTTTTCTTATATTATTTCATTATGTGGACAACCTTGTTGTGATACAAATATCCAATAAGGCGATCTCAATATTTGCTCTTATTAAGATCTTATTTAAGGCTATTATCATGAGATTTTGATTTGTCTCTCTATTTATTGTTGCTAGCATTCTAAGATCTGTTTTTCTTGTTAGTATTTAAAATATAAGATAACATGTTTTGGCCTTTCTGTGCCATATAGTATCCTCATTATATAAGAATTTGATCTCTAATAATGTTGATCTTCATTGTGAATAATCCATGATAAATACTTATACTAGTTACAATGTCATCCCATCTCTCAGGTGTTATTGAAGGCAAATATAAACAAAGAGCTTATCAATGAACTCAATATTCACAGGGTTCTGCTTTCTTGTGATCAGTCAAGTTGACCATGTTTATATAATTGATGATCAAAGCTCTTTTCAACAATCTAAAATTAAAAAAAGATTTGTAAGATGAATACCTTGTTGACCACAAAAAGACTTTTCATGCAGTTAGAGAGCGTCTTCATACCATCTACGACTGTCATTGTATTAAAAATGTTAAAAGTAGACATTTGTATTAAGGGATTATAAATCAAAATCTGAAAGGCACAAATCTCGAGGAAATCTAACAATCTCGAGAAACTCTGGATTGTAATTGTCATATATTCGACTTCGCTTTAAATTCTCGAGCCCCTCTTTTTTGCTCCATTCCAGGCCAGCGGGTGGTTACGGGAAGGGAGCCAAACCAAGCCTAAGAAAGAGACATATGGAGAGACTACATGTCATATGTGTAAAAACAAAGACAAAGGATGAATGCATAAATTAGTATTGATTATGCTTCTATTTTTACTTTCTTTTATATTCTTCTTCTTCTCTTATTTATTTATTTATTTATTATTATTATTATTTTAATTTGCTTATTAATGCAAGTATCTTGACAAGTAAATGTTATATAGTTTATATAGTAAAAAAAAAATATGTTTTAAATATTAATGCTCAACCACCATTAAAGACTTTGGTAGCCTCTATTATAGACTTTTGTGCCATCTTTTAATCAATTTGTTTTGAATGCTTGATATATTAATAGTAGGCAACATATTTAATTTTGTTAGAGGGAAGAAATACATTGACCAAGTAATCATTTTTTTTGGTGCTACCACATAGCATAAAAAAGTTAGAAAAAGCTAAGGGTTTGTTTGGGATAAGTTTTTTAATATTATTATTTTTTTAAATTTTTTTCATTTATTTTAAAAAATATATTTATTGGACATGTTTTTTTTTTTACATAATTTTAGTATTTTTTAATTTTAAATATTTTTAAAAACAATCATACCTTAATTAATATGATAAATATAATTTATTTTAAATCAAAATATATTCAACATAAAATACAAAATACAAAATGAAAAAATAAAAGTTATCTACATTAACTTGTAAAGCCCCAAGTCTTTCAAATTTTTTATAACTATCACATTATGATATGCAAGCGAAAGAAAATATTCTTTCGATTAAGTCAACTGATTTAAATTTTTTTTATTACATTTGATTTTGGCTTCACTTTAATTTAAAGTCAACAATATGATTTATGGAATATAATTTTAAAATAAATCATTTATTTTCAGTAAGATGACTCCAAATACATATGAATGTTATGGTTTGGATAAAGTATTTTTTTCTCATTGATTAAAATCATAAATTATCTTAAAGCAAACCAAATTAATTAGTTCAAGGGATAGCTTAACATGCTTAATAATAGAAAGGTTTCTTAGAATCAATCAACATTGTTTTAGCATAATTACAAATTAAAAGTGATTTATATTCTACAAATATCCTTAAAAGTCATATAGTGTATTAATTTATACCTTATATATGTAATTAAATAAAAATTAAAATTTTTTAAAACAAATTTTCAGCCTTTCAAATGAGCCTAAAGTTGAAATCAATTTTTGAAAAAAAAAAAAAAAAAAAAAAGGAGGAGCATTTGCATAGATACCACATAATTGTTAGGTATTTACATATCTAACCCAAAAACATTCATATTTACATGTGTGTCATTCAAGTCTTTAACATCACATCAAAAATATCACTAAAACTTTCTTTTTAAAAAATGTAATTAATTTATTCATGCATGGGTTTATGACATCAATATCAAGCTTCATATCAAAACCGAAACTCTTCCTTTTACATATATATATATATATATATATAACCAAGAATATATATCACATTATTTATGAATGAAGCAATATATTTTATTTTTTTAATATGAAATATTTGAGCGATATGAATGTCATGACTTCCTAACCATCATCAATACCTTCTTTAATGAACATACTAGTGATTTTCTTGTGGTGCTTCTTTAATGATCTCAAGCCCATAAATCAAGATCGACTTGTCATTAGATCGATGAACTGAGTTCTAGCTCAATATATGAACTCAAATTGAGCTCAAGCCTATTATTAAACTAATGGCTCGAGCTAAACTCAAATCATCAATATGGAACAAGTCAAATCAACTCTTTAAAATGTATTTTGTTCGTAAGGACACAATGCCAACTTATCTAGGGAAAGTTCTCACAATATTAGTTTTATCAACTCAATTTATCTAATGTCCACAACATTATAGATTCAACATGTTTACATCCTCTTAAGATTGCTATTATTTTGGCATCAAGCTAGAAACACTTGTAGTGATCAATGATTTTAGTACTTCTAATAATTAGAGGAGAAAATATTACACTTGTAGTGATCCATTATACATTTCAATTTCTACGAATTTGATTCATCATCCCGTACATACGTATAACACATGTATTATTATCTCTAATTCGAGAGACCATTGACGGTTTTTATATCAGATGGGGTCTATTGGATAACATGATTTGTAGTGACCAATTACATATAAGTGTAAATTAAATTACATGGCTATGTTTATCATTTTTATATTTTGATGGATTTGTTGGGATATTAATCATGCCACCTTTCCATTATTTTCTAACTATTTTTATTTATTTTTTAGCATCATAACTATATAGCTAAATTAAATTATCAAAATTTAATTATTATTTTCAGCTTATTATGAATAATTTTAAATATAAAATTGTATTTCTCATTAAACTAATGAAATAGTAATTAGCGATTTAAATATTAAGTTATTTAAGTAATGCATGAAACTTCCTCTAACCCAACCTAATTAACACATATATTGAAATCCGTAAAGATGAATTCATGTCAATCAAATAAATATTTTGATCGAAATAAATTTTATCTACATTATTTTGTATATTAGGATTTGTTTGGAGTAGCTTTTGCGTTTCAGGATAAGCAGTTTATACTGAAACATGACCTGCGGGTCGACCGCGGGGGTCGACCTGCGGCCTGCATTTAGTGTAAAAAAATCAAACGCGGCAGTTATCATTTTCAAAAAAGTTCAAACCAAACGGTTAGGCGGTGTTTTCCAAAACGCCGCCGCACTTACAAGCTACCCCAAACGGGTCTTTTAGGGTGCATTTGGGGCAGCTTGCGCGTTTCAGAATAAAACAGTTTATTCTGAACGCGACCTGCGGGGGTTGACCCGCGGGCTGCATTTTGTAAAAACCTTTGGTAGACATCTACCTCTAATCATGATAAAAGGAGAAACAAAATAGACAACAAAAAAGCCAATTTAAATGTTTTTTTGGGTTTATTATGGCAATAAAAACAGCATCTACCTTTATTTTTTTTTTATTTTTTATTTCCAAAAAGAAATATTTAGAATGGAAGTAATTAATATAAGAATAGGTCTTAATTAAATTAACTGATAAGCAAGAAGATAACTCCCCATCGCTGTTATAAATTAGTGTTATAGCTAGCTTCTGTTTATTTGCCAAAAATTTCTCATTATAATAATCACCCGAAAAGGGCTCAATTATAAATATATAATTACCATTTTTTTTCCTTAAAACTCCGATTTGGGAATGTTTGACAATAGATTTGTTTTCAGTAGCCTTGGTTGAGTTATAAGTAGGGTTGTAAACGAGCCGAGCTTGAGCGAGCTTAGGCTTGGCTCGTGTTCGGCTCGTTCGAAATAGCTCGTGT